TACAGTAGAGCGTCGTTTATCCGAAGGTCGGTTATCCGAAGGAATTCCAGTCGACTAATTTGAATTTTCGCCAGTACTGTGGCGCTGTATCTTTGGCTATGTCTTGGGCTACTCAAATATTTTACGTTTTTGATACTAAATTAACTTCTGAAGTATAATTTTTTATTGTTTTTATATTTTTCAATATATTTATTTTGTTTGTACAAAATAAAAAAATAATTTTTAACGATACAATAGTCTTCGTTAGGCTTAACATCGACGAAAATTCAACGCGAAGCGACACGCAACGAAGAAAAATGTCAAAATGAGATAAATTAATTTATTTGTTCGTACATAATCGGTTATCCGAAACACCGATTTTCCGAACAACCCAGTTTCCAATTGATTCGGATAATCGACGCACTACTGTATTACATAATTCTACTAACTGTCACTTTAACAATTTTAGACTTCGAATAAATTAGATGTTTTGGTTTTTTCCAGATATTTGTTTTTAATTTATATCATTTTTAAGAGTTTTTACAATGAAAGAAAAAATAGTCAAATTACTTGATATGAAGTATCGTACGTACAGAATTTTGAACTATTTATTTTTCTAACAAAAGAAGAGGACAGGTTATTGTAAATTATATAAACTTAATTATTTAAGGTGTAAAAATATTTTGCTGTGTGATAACATTGAATAATACCATCGTTTTATAGCATCGAAGAAATAAATAAAGCTGAAATTTCAGATATCCAGACGTAAAAACATGTGTTTCAAATGGAGAAACAAATTAGAGTTTAATTCGATAATTTTTATGTCGATCGTACTGCCGCAATTAAGACTACAATAGTCGCATTTTTTTGTTATTTACTCCAATTATTACAAAAATAAAATACAGTAAAAACTGCTTAGGCGACCACCTGCATTCGACGGGCACCTGTCAAAACGGACAAAAATTTTTGGCACCGAATAGTTTATCCATAGAGTCTTCGTATAAGTTACCTGTATTAAACGACAACCTATGTAACGCGACCGCGGGCATCCATTTTTGGTCCGAAACAACATACAACAACTGTAATAAACGACCACTTTCGCGAATATATCTGGTCTAAACTATTGTTCAACAACGTTTTCCCCCTCCTAATATAATGAGTTAGTCTAAACTCTCGTTCAAACCCATCTCGGGCACTTCATCTTTGAAATTAGGTTCAGGTGTTAATGAATTAGTCTAGCAACAAAGGAAATTCATTTCAGTTTGTTCGAAATTGTCCGATAAACGAATGAAATGCAAAGTGCTGTCGTTAGAAGATCGTATCAATTAAAGTTATAACAACAGCAATTAGCAGCGAAGTTTAACTTTTGAAAAATGAAGTTTATTTTACCTTAAACGTACAGAATTTTTTTCACGGTATAATATATTGTACACGATACAATTAATCGGCTGATCGCATCGTTTGATAAAATTTATTTTTATTTACTTATCTATTTATTATTTTGAAGCTCATGTACAGTACATGTGTGATAAATAGTTTCTGTACAACTTACTTCTGCAACCTACCTTATTTCCCCGATATTTTAAGGAAAATAATATCCAAGTCATTTTCGCACGCAAAACATTCAAAAAACAATAAACGCATTAATGCAAAAATCAGTTTTACGGGCAACCTTCCTTTTTCGATTCCACAATAACAATCGCGGAATGTAATAAAATCGTTCAATGAGAAAAAATAATAAAATCGTTTTATTATTATTTAATAATTTTTATTGTACTAAAGAAAATATTAAATATTAAGAAATACAGTATTTTTAAAGTTAAAATAAGATTAAATTAGCGAATACCAAAACCAAACTGATGTAGAGATACAACGCGCTTGTATATCGATGACTTAATACACGTAACTGAGGAGCGAACGAAAACAACCGAGTTGAATTAATTAAGTCGGAAAAAAGAAAGTGTGCATTATAATCGAGAAAATACCAGCATTGTATTAATCTTTAAAATATTGGTGTTAAATCTGTCTTATAATATCATGACGACTCCTGTAGATTGGACTATTTGATAAGATAAAATACAATACCAATATAGCCCTATCGTTGAAAACATTCGCATATTTTTGCTCACCTCGTGATTTTCTTGGTAGAAATGGCTAAAAAGTGCGCAAAATACGTACGGAAATACGGTATTACAGCACCACCTGTCTAAAAGACCATATTTTGAAGGAACCGTGGATGGTCGCCATAGACAGGTTTTACTGTATTTCATATAACAGGTCTATATGTTATTGTAATTAGTAACTTCTTCATTTAAAAATTTATCAGTAACAGCAGTAAGCTATTCTACGTGTTTAGACTGAAGCAAAAAGCTATAAAAGTTGTGGGACAAGATGTGTCTTGGTTTTAAAAGTTGTCGAGACGAGACTGTCTCGGAGAGATTCAAACTTTAAAACTTCTCTGGCCTTGGCAACGGCCACAACCGCGAGGTTGTCCAAGATGCATTATCAGTGAAATTAACCTATCCAATTTCGAAATTTCTCTTCGTTGCGTATAGCTACGGATTGAATTTTTGTCAATGCCTAACGAAAATTTCCTGTTTTTTAAAAAAATAATCGTGGCTATTGTATGGTCAGAAATATATTTTTTTATTTTGAACAAACAACATATATGTATTAATTAATAAATAAATGTAAAAATAAAGAAGCTGGTAACACAGGAGGCAGTACGCTTTTATAAACAAGACAGTCTTGTCAATAATTGTCGTAATAAAATTTTATAAGAGGTAACTTATCGGGTTATAATATAAAATTGTCAAAAAATGTTGTTTACATTATATCAGGTGATAAATGTGTGTGCTTGGGAGTCGTCAGAAAAGGGGTCCCTAAGATCGGAAAATATGCTAAATTCCTTTAGAAGGTTGGTTGATAAACATAAACATTTCCGGTGTTGCATTCACACACAGGTCTTCGAGATGTGGGTGCAAAAGGCATCTTGTCTAGTAGATAAGAATGGTCTGTTGCAAAACCAGACAAGAAAGTAATATAAAATACATAGATATATAATATTACAATAAAATTTCTAACTTATTATATAAAGAGAATACATTATTAGCTAAAATAT